TAGTTTAATACCTTTGTAGTTACCACAACGTTGGGGATCTCCTTTATTCTTATAAATTGGTATCACCGTAGACTCTATCTACTCCTCTGGCATCTTGACAGTCTCTAAAATAATATTAAAGATATTGGTCAACCACTTAACTCCCTCTTCTCCTAGGATCAACCACACAATGATATGAATTTGATCTGGACCGACAGCTTTGTCCCTCCCCGTCTTTCTAAGGGTCATTTTGACTTCCTCAATCCTAATCCTACTTGTAGGGCAGTCATTGGCCGTAGTATGATGGTCGGCTGACCCATCAACATTACTATCTCTATAGGGAAAGGCACCATTATTAAATAAGCCAAAGAAGTAACTACCCCAAGCCCTCTTAATATCGTGATCTTTCACTAAAAGAACACCATTGTTGTCCTTAATAAACATAATGCTACCTAGATCATTTTTACTATTCTCACTGGATTTTGCAAGCCTGAAGATGCCGTTTTGTCCTTCCTTGGTGTCTAATCTCTTGTACATTTCCTCTTATGCCTTATCCTTTGCTTTTTCCACTGTTATCTTGGCTTCCCACTTTGCCTCCTTGTATCTTTGTTTAGCTCTCGTTCTTTCTTCGTCGTCATTGCATTGTAGCAACTCCTTGAAGCAAGTTTGCTTTGTTTTCACCTTAGTCTGGACTTCGTCGTTCCACCACCATGATTCTTTATGTTCCTTGACCTTCCCTGTCGACAACCCAAGTGTGTTTTTGCCCGCCTCTCTGATGAAATTTGCCATAGTCTTCCATAACATATCTGCATTATTTGAGTTTGTAGTTCAAAACCTTTATGAGACAAAACCTTACTCCTAAAGTCATCAGATGTCACTATGTAAGTTCTTCCAAAGGACCTAGGCTTACCTAGTTTAGCCCTCCTGTGAGTGCTCCGCCCGTGGCGTACGCGGAACACCAAAACCAACACTTTGTGTTGTGATGCACATGCCTCTTCTGGGAAAACCTTACAATCAATGCAAGCCCATCGATCCCGATTTCGAACCAAGATATAGTCGATTTGGGTACAATGTCCCCCGCTATGGAATGTAATCAAGTTCACATCTCTCTTGTTAAAGAAGAAGTTAGTGACACCATATCGTGTGCAGTAGCAAATTCAAGCAACATACGCCCCTCCTCGTTCCTACCACTAAAACCGAAACCCCCATGAACACCGTCATACCCGTCGATTTCACTATCTATATGGCCATTGAAGTCTCTCCCTATGAAAACTCTTTGGTCCTCCGGAATGCCCCTAAGTAAATCATCTAACGAATCCCAGAAGCAACGTTTTTCCCCTTCCCCTAGGCCAACGTGTGGTGCGTACACTGAAAGGACATTCACCACTTCCACTTCTATAATAACCTTAATCATCATGATTCTATCACGGTATCTACAAACTTTAACTACATTTTCCTTGAGCCTAGAGGATACCAAGATAACCACCCCATTTCTAGCGTTATTTACTCCTGAATACCACAACTTGTACCCGTTACACTCTCTGGCGCGAGCCCCTTTCCACCTAGTCTCTTGAATACATGCAAAATCTATTTTCCTATTACTTAGTACGTCGGTTAGCTCCAGCAGCCTAGCATAAAATGTGCCTACATTCAACGTACAAACTCTAAGTCTAGTCTCCTTGACACCACTCTGTCAAGCCCGCCCCCTATACGCCCCATGAGATCTAAAAGAAGGACATGGCCTCAAGTAATCATCTATAGCTGAAGCTATGAGGAACTATGAAAAATGAATCCAAAGAAGACAGAAGATGCACCAATAAAACGCTAGAGAATTGAGGGGTACTAAGAACTCTAGTTGGTTACTTAATAAGATTTTAATTTATATAATACTATTGTTATTATTATTGCTAAAAATCTAGTGTTAAAAGGGGGAGAAATAGAATAATATTGATTTTTATTATTATATGGGGTAAATATTTATGAATATATTTAATTGCTAAAAGCCTAGTGTTAAAATGGGAGAAAAAAGAATAAAATTGATTGTTAATATATATAATACAATCTAATGTTGCTGTCACTTTCAAACCTTTTTTTTTTGACAAATTTGAATTGAATACTAAGTTTATTGCTAGTAATTAGGTTAATAATGATAATAAGTATGTTTATTAACAATTATAAGGTAAATTGCGTAAAACACTAATATAGCACGTTTAAATACCTAGCCGACCACGATTTGTACCTGGCCAGCAAGTAGGAAGCAATTACTATTTTCCGACAGGATTATTTTTCGGCAAAGGTTCTGCTCGTCGATGGAATGTGGTTGCTGGTAACGTTCACCTGCAAGATACAAAAAGCAAAAAACATAAGTAACTCCAACGAATATTGGGAGAGAATTCGGATAAAGGAAAATTTTCTGATTTCTGCACTAAACCAAACACACTAAAATCTTGGATTTAACCCGAAATCCGATATAGATCAAGTAAACATGATGAAGATTGAACCTATATAGCAACTCATAAGACAATGAAATTCAGATTAGAGCATAAATATGAATCAAAATTAAAAACCAAAAATAGATCGGAACCCTAATTTCTTCACAAAGGTATGGAATCAGCTTGGTGAATTCAACGAAGAGAGATCTCTTCAACAATGGGCGCTTCCGGCAGCAAGAAAAGGCAAAAGCCTTGCCACGAGGGGAGGAGCGTGAGGTATCTAACGGACAAGATGAGGCCTCTCAACAACTAGAGAGAAGCGGTGATGGTGGTGGCGTACAAAGAGGCGGAGTGGGTGGAAGAGAAGAGGAAGCTGAAATTTAGATACTTAAATCAAACCAGCGATTAAATCTTCCAGAAGAAGATGTTATCCACGGATTTGACTTGATACTGAAAATGGAATTTGGAAATTTCAAACGAAACTCAACAAAAACCATATCAAAAGAAACGAAAAACAAATATTGGAAAGAATTAGTCATGAAAAAGAAAGATGAACAGAAGGAGAAAATGCAGAGAAACAAAATATTTTTTGGATATTGAAAAAAGAAGCAACTTAACCAAAGAAGATCTGAGGCGAAAAACGAGAGACAAAACGCCCAAAACAATGACGAACCTCCTCGTAAAAGAAATTCAAAGCAATAAATTAAGGAAACAAGTGGGGAAACAAATACTATAATAATTTATATATATTATTAATAGCTAAACACCAAACGTTGCTTAAATTAGGGAAAGTGGAGAAATAAATATTATAATAATTCCATATATTAAAAAACTAAACCACTATAGCTTAAATTAAGGAAACATGTGGGGAAACAAATAATATAATGACTCCATATATTTAAAAAACTAAACCATTATAGCTTAAATTAAGGAAACAAGTCGGAAAACAAATATTATAATGATTTCATATATTATATATTTTTTAAAAATGATATAAAATAAAATAATATAATACATATAATCATGAAAAATAAAGGATCAAAACACAAATAGTAAGCAATAAGATTACTGGAATCGGAAATAACACTAAAAATATTTAAAAACTAAAATAAATGTAATAAATTATTATAGCAAAGTTAAAATAAAATAAGGGTATCAAATTAAAATAAATAAAAATCACAGGACTGAAATAAAATAAATATAATTTTTGAAATATAAATATATAGGTGATGTAAATAAAATAAACCCAAAAAATAATAATCAGGCTTAAAAGGGAAAAATTAAAAAATAGTCCTTTTAGGGACTAATATGCAAAACGCGCTTAATCTTAAGAGGGTTGAATCATGATTTTACCAAAATAAATTAAGCTACACGTGAAAATGGTTAAATTTCAATTTAGGTCCTTATTGGTGACCATTTTGTAAAACACGCGTAAAGTTTGAGGAATTTATGTTGTAGTTTTACCTTTAATTTTATCTATATATACCACTAATTTTAGTTTCATTTTGCTCATTTGAGTGGCTTTGAGGAAAAATAGAGAGAGAGAGGATAGATATCCTCTCCCCTTAGGTTCGGCCGGTCAACTGCTAGCCACTGTGAACCACCGTCAGATTTCGTCCGGCCACCGCTCCGGCAGTCGCACATGGTGGCCGGAATTCTCAAAATCAACCAAATCACTCCTTTTTTTTATAGATCTAATCCCCTAGGTGTTTATCTTAGGCTAAAACACCTTAAGAAACCACAAAATAAGCCCCAAACCGAGCTCTGACCCTTCGGTTCTTATGCACTCCGACTACCGTCCGATGAAGATTTGATGACTCAAGTAAATTTCTTCCTTTAAACTTCCGGTTTTCTCTATTTTTACATGTAAAGTTCTGGTCTTTTTGTTTTATTTATACAAATTTTTATTTTTCATTCAAACATATGTATGAAAAATACAAAAATAAAATAAAGATGATACCTTTCGAATACTATTGAAAACTTTCTGATTTATTGCTTTGTATTCTGTTTCTGGAAAACTTCGAATGGGTCGAACTCTTTATATTCTTTCTCATTAAGAGTAAGCTGAATAGTTATATTATGCAAGTTGTGTGTAGACACCTTACTGCTAATCATCATTTTACTTCAATTCATCAAATATTTTCTACTTTTAAAATAAAAATTTGAAGAAAAGCAATTGTGAAAAATCAAACATCTAAATCTAAACACGTGTAATTAAGGATTTATATTTACAAGGTTAATATTTAGTAAGACTAAATTTCAATTCAATTGATATTATTTTTCTTATAATATAAAAAAAATTATATCATTTAAATATTATAAAATTAGAAAAAAATAAATATTTATCTAATAATACATAAATATATGGTATGCATCAAATATTATGTCAATCCATGACAATATCGAATATCCAAAAATAAGTATTCATTATCCCAACTTCATTCGAACAGATGAGATGGCTTAGCTGTCATGTCCAGTCCACTTGTCACTCACCATGCAATTTGCAAGCCTTTGTTTTTCTTTAACCTTTCCATAATTTAAGTTTCTCGTCTTCCTTTATATTATTTCTTAAAATATACGCTGCACACCCTCCAACTTGTCTGCTTTTATTACTTAACTAGATCTAGACTAGACAACACCGCCCGCCACCACAGCCCGACCCTCCTTCCACCGCCATGGATCCGCCACCCTCCTCCGCCCCAAAGCTAAGACTAATGTGTAGCTTCGGCGGCCTTATCATCCCACGTCTCCAATCCAAATCATTTTACTATTTCGGTGGCGAAAACCGTTTACTCAACATCCCCACCACCGACAACACCTTCACCACGCTTACACTTTCTTGCCTCACCTCTCCACCTTTCTCCGCCTGGCCACCCCGTTTATTCTCAAATACCAAATCCCGAATCACGACCTTGACTCGCTCATTTCCATCTCAACCGATGATGATCTCCAAATCATGTTGGAAGAGCACAAGAGACTCTCTTTTAGCTCCACCGCTGTGTCTTCACGTATCAGGTTGTATCTTTTTCCTGTTGGAAATATCGATAAAGCCGAGTTGACTCATCCGAAACGAGAGAGTTGGTTTGGCGATGCTTTGAGGAGTGAAAGAGTGGGGTTTGGAGGTGAAAGTGGAGAACAGGCTGAATCTATTTCTTTGGAAACTTTTTCTTCTTTTGCTTCTACTCCTTCTTCGATTTCTTTGTCCGGTTTGCCTCCAATTAAACACTCGCCTGATTCAATATCAAGGTAATCAAAACATATTGGGTCCTTTATATATAAAAGAAAGGAGTTTTTTAGTGTATTAAAAAAACTGTTTTTGCTCAATGGTTCTGTTTCCTTTTTCTCTTAGAGGCAGCTAGCAGTCCAATCGTTTGGTTTTTTTCGTGGAAAAAAGGGATTCCATGTAAATGAAAATTGGGAGATATTTTGCTGATTTCTATTGTTTTTGATTCGTTTTGGCTGATTATGGAATGAGCTCATTAGTACTTAATCATTGGATAAACAGTTGTTTCAGAGGTTTAATGGGATAGGAAAGGCTTGAATGTCATGATTAGTGTTCAAATTGAAGGATTTAACCTTGAGAATCGAAGTTCTAACTCATTTCTGGTTAAAGTTGTGGGGATTGGAAGCAACTTCGATCAATTATGGTGTAGACATCATTTTTTTCATTTAAATTTATTATTATTATTATTAAAATTATTATTATTATTATTATTATTATTATTATTATTATCATTATTTATTATTATTATCAATATTATATATTATTATTATTTAATAAATAATTACAACTGGACCGGCCCAGTTACAAACCAACCAGAACCGGTCCAGACAACCAGAAACCCTAACGATTAGTAAGGTTTCAGCTAGGGTTTCTAAACCCTAGCCACCCCCAGCCGCCTCTGATGCTTCCAGAATCCCAGCCGCCTCTGATGCTTCCAGAATCCCAGCCGCCTCTGATGCTTCAAGAATCCCAGCCGCCGCCTCACTGCCAGGTGGTCCAATGCCCCACTGCCGACGCCTCCACCGCCATTGCCGACACTCCATAACGTCGAGAAGCTACCCACGTTGAGCCCTATGGTGAGTCACCACCATAGCTATGGTGACTCACCGGGCCTTTCATCTCTGGAACCGGTCCAACGAGAGCCTCGGTGGTGGCTATAAAAGCCACCCCACCTGCAAGAAAGAAAAAGGACAGCCACAGACGGCAGAGAACGACAAAAAAAAAAAAAGAAAGAAAAAAAACAGAGAAAGAGAACACAGCAACCAACAAAGCAAGAACTACACCAACGATCCCAGGAAATACAAACCAAAAGAAGAGAAAAAGAGACTTACCGAGAAAAATCGCCGTCGTGAGAGCCTCCACAAATCATCAGAGAACCAAAACGTCGAAGAGAAATATCCTAGATCTACGACGATTGGTAAGGTTTTAAGCTAAAATAACCTTAGATCTAGATATAGAAAAACAGAGGCTTTGATTTGGGGTGGGTTTTGTAATTTCCGGCCACCGCTGACGGTGGCCGGCGACAGCAATCGGAGCCCGACAGCGGTGGCTGACCGGGCCGGCTTCTCTCTAATTTTAGAGAGAAGCCAGAGAGAAATCTTCTTCTCTCTGTTAGAGAGAAGAAGAGAAATGAAGAAATGAATGGTTGGCCGAAGGGCCAACCGGTTTGGGGTTTATAAACCCTCTTCCATACGACGTCGTTTAAGGGGGAGGGGTATCTGTGTAATTAACTAAAGGTTAAACCCTTTCAGTAGCCATCTAAACTTGTAACTCTTACATTCTAGTCACTAAATCAAATTTATAATCCTTTAATTCGGTCCTTAATTTTAGATTATTTATTTTAGTCCTTTCTATTAAATAATATATTAGGATAAATACGTATTTAGTCCTTAGTTTTAATAAATAATATTTTAATCCCGAGTATATATTTTTAATTTATTTTAAATCTGATATTGAATTTTTTTTTATTTTTATTTTAGTCATCAAATTAATAAATAAGGAAAATAGCATTTTTAATCCCTATAATTTTAAATAATTAATTATAAATTAGGTATTTAATTTTATTATATTATAATTTAGTCCCTAAGTTAAATATTTTCATTTATTTTACGAGCTTTATTATTTTTTAATTGTATTTTAAATATTATTTAATCATATGTTACCTTTTTTTTTTATGTTCATACATATTTAATTATCATTACTATTATTATTATTATTCTTTATTAATTATGTCAATATATATAGTCTTATAAATATATATAATATTTATTTATTCTATTTTCCTATTTTAAATTTAATTTTATAAATTACTTTTAAGAAAAATAATTATATTTTGATATTTATTTATTTTTAATATCAAAGAAAAAAGTTGTCTTAAGGTACCTAGAAGCTCTTTTCTGATATTTTTTTTTGAATAAATAAATATCTTACTATATTAAAATAAAATGTTTTTTTTATTTATTTTTAAATATTAAATAAAAGAGCTGTCTTAAAGCACCTAGAAGCACTTTTCTGATATTTCTAAATAAGTAAATATATTATTTATGTATATTATATTTTCTTTAAAATTTGAAATAGTAGAATTATAAATTAAATATATTTTGAATTTTTAAAATTTTAATAATAGAGACAATTTATAGTTAATAAAGTACCAATTTTGGGCGTTGTAGGGGTGCTAATCCTTCCCTAAACGTAACCGACCACGAATCCCTTTTTATTATTAAAAAGAACGAATTTTTGGTTAAAACGCAGATCAGTTTATCTTTTAATTGATGTTTTCTTAAAAACTCTTTTAAAAGATATTTTTTAGGTATTCGACCTACCTGATCCAAAAGGCCGATGGCGACTCCCAAATTATTTTCAAAACCATTTATTCATATCACTTTTCCCGTCAAGTTAAATATTTCGTGCCCGGACGAAAACCGGTTACAACAGCTTGGCGACTCCGCTGGGGACTTGTCAAACTTTTAAAAATTAATTATAAATCGTCTCTATTAGTTAAAAATTAAAAATTTATATATTTAATTTTTATTTCTTTCTTTTCAAACTTTTTATTTATTTATTATTTTTATAATATTTATATGTTTTATTTTATTTGCAAGTATTTTATTTCAGTATTTATTTTTATGTCAAAAGTTTAACATTTCTCCTCACACACAACACTTGCATTACATTACATAAAGCTCTATAATTGAGTTATCCCTTTTAAGTGGGAGTGAAAGCAACGTCTTCGTGAGAATTTATTCTCCGTGTCAGACCTAGCAAGTAACTTCCGGGGTTCATATGCTCTATGTCTTCGTGAGAATTTATTCTCCGTGTCAGGCATAGAGAAATGTATCCCCTCAAATTGAACTCGATCCATTTAAGTCTGTAATGGACTAGGATTGAGGGTTGACAGTCCAAGGGGGCATCAACAAGAACAATTCGAGTACCTTTACTCCTAGAACTGAAACTCTGCATATAATGAACCCTAGAAATTCTTCTGATCTAAGACAATACTGAACCTCTGTTCATAGGTATACACAAAGGAGAAATAAGCTCTAGCTTTTAATTTATTTTATTTCCTTTTCATTTTCCTGAATAAATGCATGTGAACTAGAAATCGTGCGGTTAAGTTAAATTTTCCAAACAAAGCATGGAACTAGAAAGCACGAGGTTAAGATTTATACATTGATATACAGTTTTTTTTAGTTGGTACTAACTATTCTATTTTTTTTCATGTATATTACATTGCTCTAACTTGTTTATATTTGATTTCTTTTGTTTGCATTACATGATCATGGCATAACCAAAAGGTGTTTACTGGAAAGACTGTTCATCATATTGGAAAGAAATCGTAAATGGACAAAAAGTTTTATGATCAAACAAAATATGATGCGGCCAAAGAAAGACATCCTGAGGAAACTCCAAGGATGGAAGCAAGCAAAGCACACAGAGATCCTGTTATATTAATACCAAAAGTATTACACAAAGATCCTACCAGATTGATACCAAAAGCAGTCTATGGTAAGAGCATCAGTCAGGACATTCAGAGTAGTGGAGATTTTTATGAAGCTCAAGCATATTATTTGAAGGACTTGAATGACCAAAACAAGAAATTAAGCACAGAAATGAAAACCATGCATGAAGATTTTCAAAAGATCAGTCAAGCCTTTCAAAATACTGGCCTAGGAGGCACCCCAGAAGAATGGATAACGGGGGTCACCAAGCTGAAAAAGAGCTGCAACATATGAAGATCTTGTTCAAGAACTTCTTAGACAGAAAAGATCTCTTATAGGGGAAAATGAGCAACTTCGAGAAGTGACACAGAAAATGAAAGAGAATGTCATGGAAGAGGTTACAGTCCAGACAAGCAATATGTCCCTTAAGTTGATAGACTAATTTGGCTTTGGAGAAGTTAGGAATGAAATATATCCCTATATGTAAAGTTTTGTTTGATGTACCGAAACTTTTGCGTTCAATGAAATCTGTTCTAAGATGATCACTCTTGAGTAACACCTTTTCATACATGCATTTGTATTTTGCATTTGTACATTTTTACGTTTGTATTTACATTTACATTTTTACATTTGCATATTTACATTTGGCATCTTTGCATGTCATAATACATTAAAACATTCATTCATTAAAATAAGGATTTCAAACGAAGTGATCTTGGTTTTTCCTTGAAGCAAGAACGCTCAGCACGACACAAGAAAAATGTTTAAAGAAACCGAAGATAGGCTAGCCAAATTTGAGATAAAGCAGAAAGAAATACAAGAGGAATTGAGAAGCAAGTTGGCACAAATCGAAGCTAATTCTCAGATCAATCTACTGAACAATATGAAAGAAATGATTAATAAGCATTTGACTGCTGGAAAGAGTTTTGTTAAAAACCCCACAAATTCTTTGGGTGTTACACCTGTTCATATTCCTGAGTTCACCTCTGTACCCCAGGAAATCCAATCACTGATTTACTTCGCTGGTAAGAACTCACAATATCAAGCTGAAGCTTCGTTCCCGCTGATTGTCCTATTGCTTCTGAGTTAAAGTCAGATAAATTTTGTAATGAGGTCCTTGACTCAAATGAATTAGTTGAAAAGAAAAAACTCATCCAAAGATTGAAAAATATAGAAGAGGAAATAGAATCTAAAGAGAGGGCTGAGTCATTTTATGGGTTTGAAGCCAAAGAGTTAAGTTTGGTCCCTGACCTAATTATCCCACCAAAGTTCAAGGTTCCAGATTTCGAGAAGTATAATGGGAC